TACAATCAATTCTTTAATATAAATTACAGACATAGACATATTTTTTTCTTTTCATAATGCCATAATATGTATTATTATGCAATAAACTGAATGTTTATAGTTGGTAAATTGTACAATACCTTCTTTAATGGGATGTCTGTCAATGTAAAAGAAAGCTGTTGAAAAGGAGAGGAGAAATCCATGTCAATATAATACATGCCAAATTATGTCAAAATGGATTTTCTTCTTAAGCATTTTAATTTATGGAGGGAAATCACTTTTCAGTGGCATATTTATAGCCCATCCCTTCATAATGGATGGAAACGATACTTGTGTCTATAAAAAGGCACAGCCATGTTCCACCTATGCCATTTTCAGAGGTCTATAACTGCCATGGTTTCCTAAGTCCAGGGGTAGGCAGCCTTGGCTTTTTTATGACTTGTGGACTTCAACTCCCAGAATTCCTGAGTCAGCATGGCTGGTTCAGGAATTTTGGGTATTGAGGTCCACAAGTCATAATAGAACCAAGGTTCCCTATCCCTGCCTAAGTCACTTCACATTATTACCTAACTCTTAGTGTATGAGAACAACACAGAAAAGGGGAGCATTGTTACGAATAGTAAATATTATTTTTGCCTTCAAAAAGGAGAAAAAAAAAGAAAAACAAGATTACAGGCAAGTCATTGTGATATTGTCCTGATTTCCTTTTTGATAGAATGATTATGATTGACCAGGAATATGGTGGATGTACTGTACCTTGACCTCAGTCAAGAATTTATCTCAAACCTCCCATAGAATTCTACTACAATGATAACAAAAAGCGGACTAAGCTAGGCTATCAGTAGGATACAAGCTGGTTGGTCAACTGCACCATATTGCTGTAATGCAGCAATATGCTATATGACAGTGACTCTATTATAAAAATTATAAAACCCTAGGGCTCCATGCTAGACCATGTGCTGTTCAACATATTGTTTCTTTAATCTTTGTATTTGCCCCAGGAGTCTATATTTTATGCTGTTTATGCTGTCTCCTAGAATATTTGGATTTGGTGGCCTCTAAATCTAAACAAATAAATGAAAATGTGGGGCTAGAAATTATTATCAGATTCACAAATGACATAAAGATATGAAGGTTAGCAAGCATCTAAGGGACAGTATTAGGATTCAGGAAGTTATTGGCAAGCTGGAACAACAAGCTGTAATCAGCAAGATGAATTTCAGTAGGGATAAATCCATAATCCTACATCTGAGCAGGAACAATAAAACACATGAGCATAAGATGTGGGTGAGTAAGAAATACAAAAAGTATCCTAATGCCTTGGTGGATCACAAGCTGAACATGACCTACTGGTAGTGTAATGCAGTTTGTAAAAAAGCAAATATAATCTGAGCATGCATAAACTGAAGAACAATAGGTCTAAACTATGATGAATTATATTTGGGTTGGACATCATGGGAAAAAACATGATGTTTCATCTGCCTCAAGAAGAGTAGATTCTCATCAGAAGTATTGAAAGAGGTTGGATGCTATAGCAGAAGATTCCTGCGCTGGTCTAGAGGTTCAAGTATACAATCTCCAAGATAAATTCTATTGAACCCCTCACATTCTATGATTCCATCTCCTTTATCTCTTTTTGCAGTGTCTCCTATTACTCTCCCTTCTGCTCTTCAAATATCGTTCACAGCAGTTGCTTTCTAGAGGCAAATGAGAGCAAGAAAGTTATCTCAATTCTTTCCCGTTCTCACTGGAAATCCTAGGAAAATTTCAATTTAACCTAAAATGATCTTGAGATCTACATTGATTGACTGATCAGGTGCCACCAAGCCATTCTTGACTCTTAGCAACACAGAGACAGATTCCCTAACCTGGGCTTTGAAGTCTTACAATGATGCACTCATTACCATTATAACTGAGTCCATTCACCTTTCAGGTTAGATGCTATCAATATGAAGTGAGGGAGAACAAGCTAAAACAAACCTGAAATCATCACTAAAAGTACAGTATGGTTGTTTAGCCCCAGTAGTCCACTGGAAAGAAACATCAAAGATAAGACAATACTACGCAATATAAATTATAAACTCAACCCCTTCCGTACACACTATGATTCCAGAGCTTTTGATGAACCTGTGAGTGGAAATTCCCATCCCTTCTCCTTTCCCACCCTGGCATTTGTTATATATGAAAACCTATAGCAATGTAGAAGTATTTTTCAGGCAATTTGCTGGTTTAAGTATTATACAACGGGGAGGAAAGCCCACTTCATATCACACAGAGTCACAGGAGACAGTTCAAAGGAGTCCATTTTTCCTTCCAGAACTAGCCAGATCTAGTGCACATCCTTAGCAAAACCTGGCTCTCTTTGCACTGCACAATTATTTTCTTAATGAAGTGTCACATCTAGGAGTTCTTCTTTATCCTAGAACATAAATTGAGATTTGACACCCTGAAACAATCAAATGCCTCATAGCTGAAAAACATTCATTTTCTGATATAGTTTCATGACCAGTCATCCAAGCAAACAATCTTTGCTTTGTTAAGAATCTCCTTTTTTATTTTCTATTGGGGGGGGGGAAATGTCCAGTTGGGTTTAAAAAAAAAAACTTTTGATGTGTCAATCATCACTGATGGAGACCTGTAACATTCTCTTATACTGGGGCTGTGTGGAAGGGATAGTTAAAATTTCAAGCAATTATCCGCTTTTGCAATTCTCAGGGAGACAATAGTATTCTGTTTTGTACTGTGTTGCTGCTGGGTAGTATGGAAGCATCTTTCATGGCTAAGACAGCAATTAAAGGCATCTGTATCTCACTAATTTCTCCCCTGCTTCTTAGAGCTCAATTCTCAATTCTTAGAGCTGAAATGAACAAAGAATATGGAAAAGAGAAGCTATTTTTCTACAAGATGGTTATCCAGGAATTATAAACTTAGCATCTACATTCTGTAGCAGCACGTCCTCTCTGGAATAAGGTGCCCCCAAGATCGGGGTGCTCCTCACACTGTTGTTGTTCAGAAGAGTGGCAAAGTCCTGGCTCTTTGTCTTTGGCAAGGGAAGGTGAGACACCCCCCCCCCCACTCCATTTCCTCTGATATATAGTGCTTGTCATCTTTTATCTTCTAAGGATTTCATTGCAATTTCTTCATTTGATTGTTGTGAGCTAACCATAGGCACACAGCAATGATCATTACTGTTTGCACAATATTTATTTATTTATTTATTTAAAACGTTTTTATATCCACCCATCTTATAAGAAACCCTGAGCAGCTGCCCATATTTGAAGTCTAGTTAAATTTAACCTTGTTTTGGGTTTGTTTGTGTATGTACAGCTTGGGATGTACTGTAAACCCATTTTGTTAATTTATTGCTCAGTCTATTGTGTGGACCCAGAAAACAGATTATTGAAGTAACTGGTAATTATGCGCTGTGCAAAGGCAGTTGTGTCCAAAGGAAAGGTAAAGGACAGATAGACTTTACTTTCTGTTGCCTTTTCTTGTTTACTCATTTGCTCTCAACACCCAGAAGGAAAGAAAGGGCAGTCAGTTGAACAGAAATGTCAACAACAACATTCTCAGCAATGCTTAACACAGTTGGCCCACTCCAAATCACCACCAACATGTGATAGTCTAAGCCAAAGAACAGTGATCATCTGCAGCTCTGGGGGCAGCACAACACTGTAAGATTGGGCTCCCTGGTGGCAAAGAGATTGAGAGAGAGAGAGAAAAGAAGGGATTGTGGTGACACACACAACGAAAATGGGTCCCGCTGGGTCCAGTTCTAAAAGAGAAAATGTACACAGAAGAGAGGGCAGAAACTGAAGCTGATCCTCACAGTTGCAGTTCAAGGAAGCTTAGGACTTTTACTAAAATTGGCTGCCACCAATTGGCTTCTTTTGATAGTTGCCCAAATGTCTATCCTTCCAAGCCAAAAAGATGAGTCCCACCTTGAAGGCATGTGGTCAAGGTCATGCTAAATCTGAGACCATCCTGGGACAGAGATGAAGTAGCTAGGATGGTGATATTGGGATTACCCAAGAGTATGAGGAAACAGACACTGATGAGATGGAGAGAAGGGACACACATGGGACAGGAAGGCAAGAAAGAGGCAATGTGGCAGGTTTGGGTGAGTTGACCAGGTCTTGCAGCCTTGGGAAGCTGCACTGAAGCCAAGCCACTACCCTCCTAGCCTTCCAAAAAGCACCGATTTGGCTTTCCGCCCAAGCGCTGGGATAAGGTGAGGTGGAAGAGAGGATTTAAGTAGACGCGACTAGTGGAAGCTTAACTTTAGTGCCGTTTATGGGTTTCATAGCTGTATGCATTGTTTTGTTTTGCAATAGCGGCGTAGCTCGGGTGTAGGATAAGGGTGAAGATTCGTTCTCCCAGCTTGTGGGCTGGTTTCCCAGCGTTTCGTTACCAGGCTAGGCAACCTCTTCAGCGGAGTTTAGGGGAATGTCCGTGTCAGTATTCTTCTGTTTATAAGGGCTTATAAGGACGTACTGACCACGCGAAGCCCTTATAAACAGAAGATGCGCTGGCAGAGACATCCCCCTAAACTCCGCTGAAGATGTTGCCTAGCCTGGTAACGGAACGTTCGGAAACCAACCCACAAGCTCGGAGAACGAACCGTCACTCTCACTGTTTTGTTTTCTTATGGATGTGATTTTAATTGGTTGGTTGAGTTCGATATGTGATGGGCAGCTCTATAAGTGTTTTGGATAAACAAACAAACGAACAAAAAGTTCCGAAGGGGAAAAAACCGTCCTTCCTCCGGGCTCCCTCTTGGCCTTTTGCTCGCTCGCCAGAGGCAGGACTAACGGGCCCTCCTGCCACAGGGAGTCTGTTGGCACTTGTTGGCTTGGCTCTCTAACGCGGCGGCGGCGGCGGCGTCCGTCTGAGCAGGGGGAAGTCTTCTCTTGCAGGAGCAGATTGGCGGGAAGCGGGGGAGGGAGGGAGGGAGGGAGGGAGGCGGAGGGGGCGCCCTCCCCGCCTTGCCCTCCTCCCACCTCTTTTCTCCCTCTCGCTCTTCGTAGGTGCTGACGCGCCGCTCGCCTCCTATTAATCATCCCTGCGAGCCGACGAGCTGCAACTAATGCCAGTTGGGGCTGGAGGCGGTGCGCAGCTCCGTCCTTTTTCCCGCTCTCCCTGCGCCCGAGCTCGGGCTGCCGGAGCAAAGGACGGCGGCGCTCGCCCTCAGGCTGTGCCCGCAGGAGAAAGGATGCTGAGCTGCCGCCGGGCTGCCCGGGCACTCGCGCCGCCCCTGCCCCCCTGAGCTCGGGCCGACGGGGCGGAGGATGGCCCCTGCGCCAGGCTGGTGGCGGGCGCTGCTGGAGGCATGGACTCGGCAGCGGCTGGCAGGAACTCCTCCGGCCCTCCTGGCCCCAACGGCACGGTGAGCGGCGCCGGCGGCGGTGGCGGCGGCGGCGGCGGCGAGTCGCCGGGCAGCGGCAGCGCCATCCTCATCTCCTTCATCTACTCCGTGGTGTGCCTGGTGGGTCTGTGCGGGAACTCCATGGTCATTTACGTGATCCTGCGCTACGCGAAGATGAAGACCGCCACCAACATCTACATCCTCAACCTGGCCGTTGCGGACGAGCTGCTGATGCTGAGCGTGCCTTTCCTGGTTACCTCCACGCTGCTCCACCACTGGCCCTTCGGGTCGCTGCTCTGCCGCCTGGTGCTCAGCGTGGACGCGGTCAACATGTTCACCAGCATCTACTGCCTGACCGTGCTCAGCGTGGACCGCTACATCGCGGTGGTGCACCCCATCAAGGCGTCGCGCTACCGCCGGCCCACGGTGGCCAAGATGGTTAACCTGGCCGTCTGGGGGCTGGCCCTCGTCATCATTCTGCCCATCCTCATCTTCTCCCGGACCGAGGCCAACACGGACGGCACGGTGGCCTGCAACATGATGATGCCCGAACCGAAGCAGAAGTGGCTGGTGGTCTTCGTGGTCTACACTTTCCTCATGGGCTTCCTCTTCCCCGTGGTGGCCATTAGTCTCTGTTACATCCTCATCATTGCCAAGATGCGCATGGTGGCGCTCAAGGCCGGCTGGCAACAGCGCAAGCGCTCCGAACGGAAGATCACCCTCATGGTCCTCATGGTGGTCACCGTCTTCGTCATCTGCTGGATGCCTTTCTACGTCGTGCAGTTGGTCAACCTCTTCGTCGAGCCCGACGACGCCACCATCAGCCAGCTCTCCGTCATCCTGGGCTACGCCAACAGTTGCGCCAACCCCATCCTCTACGGCTTCCTCTCGGACAACTTCAAGCGCTCCTTCCAGAGGCTCCTGTGCCTTAGCTGGATGGACAACGCCGCCGAGGAGCCGGTCGACTACTACGCCACCGCCCTCAAGAGCAGGGCCTACAGCGTGGAGGACTTTCCCGTCGACAACTTCGGCGAGTCAGGCAGCGTGTACCGGAACGGGACTTGCACCTCCAGGATTACAACCCTCTGAAGGCAGCTTTCTGACTCTCCCGGGCCGGATCCAACGGAGTGGAAGGGGGGGCGGGCGGGGGAGATCGAGCCAAGAAAAAGCCTGGGAGGGGGGGGGGGACAGGGAAAAGCGGCGAGAACGGCCCGAAGGACGCGCGGCTCTCGGCTTCTAAGCTGGACGCTCCTTCTTCCTTCTCTGGCAAGGGATGAGTTCCTGGGCGGCCTGGCCGGTTCTCCAGCCTTTTCCGCTTACCTACGCCCCGGAGCCTCGAGTCTCTCTTGTCTAGTGCTTTCTTTGAGGTCCGCGGCCCGCGAGTGTGCTCTTTATCGGCGAGAGCGCCTGCATCAAGTTGAGGACTACTGGATCCCCCTCGATATCCAAGTGAAAGATTGCTGAGCACTGCTGGAAGGTTTTGCTCCTGGCTTCAGAAAAGAAACCAAACCAAATCAGGACCTAGGTTGCCTTCATGTGTTGCAGCAGCCTAAAGAGATGCTGAGGGGTGGGCTCAAAACCCATCCCTCTAGAGCTATGGGTATTTCTGATGGTAGGGGTGTGTAGTGTGTTGTTTCACAAGTTGGGACTGGACTCAGTCTTGATAAGCTCACCTGGTGTACTCAGTGGCTCGCCTGAGCCAACCAGCAGTATTTAAAACATACACGCTTAGCTTTACAATGATCCTTGTTTCTAAACCATCCCACAGCTCATCTTTGGAAAAGAAAAATCATTCCAGATTTGCCAGAAGGTTGGCAAAAATCCTTTTCACCCTTTCCAAGAACTTCCCCAGCAGGAAGCAAATGATCCTGAGGCAGTGCAAAATATTAGATCCGCTTGGCAGTCCCAGGAGAAAGCTAACTATTCCATCAGCATAATAGAAACGAACGATCTATCTTTTTTCCCTCTGGGTCCCTGCTGTGGGACCAATTTCTTTTGTTCGCTGGCTCTGAGCAAGCCTGGGGGAAATGGCGATCCATCTGGAAAGGGAAAGGAAACCAGTCCAGTAGAAAGCAAACACAGTGTTGTTATCTCAAAGCAGCAGCTGGCTGTTGATAAGATAGAAAGCCCCAGGCTCCCACTCTTTCCCAGCAACTATCAAGATCTGCCTCCTGACCTGCCAGCGGTGTTTGGTTTGGGAAGCATTTTGAATTAAGGGGAGCAGAGAACAGCAAGATTGCAATTCTGGGCTGGCATTTGTCATGAACCACCAGCAAAGAGAAGTAAGGGACAGTAAGGAGAAAAGAGTAGTTTGTGAATGGGAGGCTGAGGAGGGGTTTTTTTTTTTTTAAAGCCTTTTTTTGAGACATCAAGATTACTTCAGCCACAAAAGTACTCACCAATGGTTACCTCAGAAAATATATATCTGGCTTTAGAGGAGTAATGATTAAATTGCTTAAAAAATTCAGTCAAAACTACCCTTCTAACTGTTCAAAAGCAATTCAAAATGGAAAAAAAAAACAATGTAGCAAAATTCAAGATTATTTGTTTACTTACTTACACAACTTTTACGCCAGTTGAATCAATCCACCTCAGATGATGATTAGTAATTTGTCTTGCTAGATCTGGCCCAACATCATTTAGACCAGCGCTTATCTCCAAGTTTAAAAATCAACCAAGGAAAAGTCACAGGAGATGCAAAGCATTGATTTAATATGTTGTGCTCTTTTAACTGGACTTCAAATTCAGTAACCGGGATGTCTGTAACCTTTGTTCTCTTCTAGAAAGCATAAATCCTATGGGAGACCTCTAGTGCTTCCTATTATAATCATAGTATATAGCACTGAGAGTGGAGTTCTAGGCCTGGTTTGTTTTGAGTCATGTTCTTTGTTATAGTTTTTATTTATTATTTGGCTGTAACAAAGATTCAATTTGATTTGAGTCATATTCTGTCCCTTTAGAATTAGGATGCATATTTCACATAACTGTAGGAGACTAAAAAAAGAGTTCAAAGAACAACAAAACGGCTAAATGATGATAGCACAAATGGCCTCATCTGACCAAATATTTTCTCTATAAAGCAGTCAGGAAGAGCTCCTACAAAAGAAATAACTAAAAACGAGGTGCTGGAGTGGGACTTGGGGAAGATCCAGACCACCCTCTTTTCCCCACTTCTACCCAGATGAAATGTATTCTTCATTTTGCATTAGTTGAATTTATAAGACGCTTGTTTAAATATTTTGCTGTGTGTTACATTTCTTGGGAGCCAGTTTTCAAATGTAAAATAAATAATTTTCCTTTTTATATTTCTAATTCTATGTAGTTTCTATGTTGTGGAGAGAATTCTCTATAAAACAGTCTTTAAAAATAGATTTGGGAGTATACAGATTCATGATACTTATATCTGTTTAAAGCACTTTTTTCGGTCAGAGAATGTTTGTAGTTTGGGAAGGAATTCCTTTTGTTCTTGTATTTTGCCTCCTGTCCTATATTGTTATTGTATATGTTTTGGAAAAGTGTTTTTTTTATAAAGAATAATGATGGCTAAAATACAACTCTTACTATCCTTTGCTTTAGATTTATCACAAGTAGTTTGATTAAAAAAACATTTTAATGCCCAAATAAAAAGCAGATCTGAAATGGAAATCCTAATATTCCAAATCTTTTCCATTTAATTTAATTAGCAGAAGGACCATTAAAAGGAACTGAGATAAGAACTGTCATAAAATAGGTTCATATTTGCTTGAAAATATGCATTCATAAAGTACAGATCATTTTGGAATAAACCTATTCAAATTACAATCACGATCCCCGAATGCCTTTTAAAAATAAGAGTGTATTTTCACCATCATACAAAAGTGTAACACCCTGTTGTATGATGGTGTTAGTAAACTTTTCAAGTTTAAAGCAGGATGAGTTGAGAAAACAAAACTTTATAATTACTCAACTTTATTTGTTATCTTATTTACAATCCAATTTCCGTGATAAATTCTTATCAATTTTATTCTGATAACTTGCAGAGGTTTTGACAATTTCTTGAACTTTAACAATAGTTCAGTTTCTTGCAATTTAGTTAGTTAATTAATTAATTAATGTCAGTACTTAATATGGTACTTTTGAATGCAATGCAAATAGAAAAAAAATCCTCAATTCATTCGGCTTGGATTAATAATGTTCTTAATACTACAAAACTTGAACTCATTTTATCAAGCAGAATGTCCTATTAAACCTGTGAGAAAAATATGTATAATACTGCTGTAAATTAGATATTAAAACTTGCAACAGTATTGTACTGTAATTAAATCACATATATTTGTACTTTTCAACAATATGTACGTTGTTCAAAAGTACTTATTCATAGCCAAACGCTGCATTTCTCTCAGTGAAATTTGATTCTTTGTGTCTGAATTGTGCTTCCAGATTAATCAGAAAAAAAGGGGGGGAGGGAATTAAGAACTAAAACTAGAAGACAAAAATATGCTTAAATGCAGTTTAGTCTCTTCAAATAGGCTGAACACTATTTGGACAAACTTTGTTGCACTGCTTGACAGAGCTATCTGAAAAAGTACATTAAAAAAAGCTGGAAAAAAGACCTCTGAAAAGAATTATTCATACTCTGTGGAATTAAAGGAAAAATGTTATGTTTATTTTACAATTCAATCTTATGTGTGTCTACTCAGAAGTAACTCTCACTGGTTGTCACAGGACCTATTTCCCATAAAGGATGTACAGGATAGCAGCCTCACAAATGTCAAAAGATTGATCATTAACTATTTATTATAAAAGTTTCCAAAATACAAGATTTTGAATCATGCTTTTAGCCTGTATTTTGGAGTATTAACTTGACATGTATTTTAATTCGTTTACTAATTGCACCTTGCCTTTTTTCAGGGCTCCCTTTCCATGTAAATTCTAACCTGACACTGAAATGAAAAGCATCAAATTGTTTAGGGCAGAAACACTACTGTACCAGTTTATAATATTGTTTTACATTAGAACAGCATTTCAACTTTAGATCACTTATTTCCTTAAGAGAGTATCTATCCAGTACTCTTACGTTGTGACCTTCCTCCAGCAATGCTGTAACTCAGTGTTAGCTTAATAAATAGATGTCTTTAACACTTATTTGCAATCCATTTTTTATTGTTCCTCTGCAATTGCCTGACTGGTTTTGATCTTTAAAGGACATTGAAAAAGCATATGATTGCACATAGCCCTGACATTTGTTGAGACAAATAAACAAGGATTTGCTTGTTCTTTTGTCATCATGCAAAGACATGTTGACAAGTGGGTGTTTTGAACTTCCTTGTGGATTAAAACCAACATTTTATCCAAAATGTGCAAGATGCATCTGAACAAGAAGGAATATAAAGATTGAACTGTCAATATTGAATTAAAAGATGGCAGATCATGACTCATCAGGTATGGGCAGGTGAAAGCTATTATTGAATTCCTAGCTCTACAGTGAAAAACTAATATCTCTAAAGATAAAACAATATAGGTGGGTATTATGGCAGTAAAATTGGAAACACTTATTAGGATTGTGGACTCCTTTTGAAAAATTATACAGAAGGAAGACATAAGGGCAATTGAAATATGTGCTAAATATCGCAAAATATTTTTTCTTGGGAATAGGCAGTGTAACATGTTCTTTGCAAAGTAATGTCTCCAGAGTTGGTTTTCATTCTATTTTCTTTTATATATTTTGTAAAAAAACCAACAATGTCTTGAAAGTCCATTTAGCAAAGAATAAAACAATATCTTGTAGTCTCGTCTGCCCATTGTAAAGTCCATTGAGAGAAGCAGTTCTGAAGCTTGAACCATAGTTCTAATGTGAACATATTGCACATTCAACATTTAATGGATGCAGTATTGCTTACAAAAGCATGAAGACTACATTACCTTATATTTTACACAGATAAAAAAATTAAGGCATTAACAATGAAAGAATAGCCAGGTTTTTGTTACCATGTGCATGTTTTCATAAAAACCTTAATGCCGACTCACTTCATTCAGTACAATAATTGTTGACATCATAAAAGCAAGTAGGTTTTAATGAGAAATGTTAAAGGTTACATTAGTTACAAATCTTAAATAAAATGTGCTGTGCCAACAAAATGATT